TGGTGCAAGGCATTAAGTCTCAGCACTATGAAGCTATTGGCCACCAATGCAGCATGAGTTTGATCCCCAGCCAAGAAGCTTACCCACATGGCAGACCTCTCCTATCTCACCACTGCTCGCCTCAGCGGTGTATTTCAGTAGTTAGGCCTGTTCTCTCCATTCTGTCTATGGTGAATGTTCTCACACTCCCACCCCCACACCTCTGGCCTACACCCTAGTTCTTGTATGCATAAATAAGTAAACTCTTTACAAAAACACTAAAAGTCAAGAAATAACCTACATCCATACAAGCACCCAGCCTATGATTAAGTAACTATGAAATTCTGTTATTTCTTATATGTAGGGGGTGGGTGGTAACTAATTCAGTTTTAGAATGCCTAAACTCTTCGAATCATTAACTAAAATAGTGAACACCAAACTTGAGGTACACTGAATATTACCAAGAAAGCTTTTAAATGTACTCATCCTCCAGTCATATTCCTGAGAGATTAAAAGAGTCTGGGGGTAACAGCTAATGAACAATATTTTTATTTTAAAGACATATTTCTGTAATGGTGTGATCCTATGTTTCTGATCCTATGTTTCAAGGTTACCTCAAAATAGAAAAGAAAAAGTTCTGCAAGTAATTCCTATGTGCAGCAAGTTTTGATGACCATTGAACTAGATGGAACATCTTAAAAGTTCTGCAACTTTTTCAGAGTCAAAAATTCTTCACTTACCTGATCTACATCACATGCAAGTCTAAGTAGCACAGGGAAAGTTCGTTTGTAGAGCTGATACATTGGTGGAGAACCCTGACCACTTTCAGGCATTTGAGTGGCTTTTCCCAGCATAAACATAACCATGCTATGTAAAAGTTCACAAGCTGCAACCTAAAACGGGCAAGGAGTTCAACAAAGTTTAAGTTTTCAGGTTTACAAGAGAATATTTAAAAATTTATTCAATTGAGCCATTAAAAAAGGTTTTGTAGCAAATAATCCCACCTAAAAATAAATTTACTAACATTAGTAATTCTTGTATAAAGTGAATGCTTTGATCTCTGTACAAGAGTTAAGAATTGGAAACTTTCAAGTTTTAGACACTGGAACTATACTATTCATAAAAACTGGTTTCTATGAATGGTGGCAAAATGGGTTAAAGCACAGTACTTATGAAGCTGCCCACAGCTACTGCAGCACAAGTTCAATTCCCTGATAGGGAGGACCCACCTGGCATGGCAGACCTCTCCTGAGCTGCCTCCTGCTCCTCTAGCAGTGAATTTCAATAGATCTGTTTGTTCTGCATCCCAGACTGTCTCTGGGGAATCCTCTCACCCTCCACATCTCTGGCCTATACCCCAGTTATAATATGTGTAAATAAGTAAATCTTTAGAAAAAAAAAGAAATGTATTTCAAAGCTTCCATATTATGGAACTGTGCTGCATTTGTTCAACTACCATTTTTAGGAAGCATATTTTTGATGCACTCTGGAAATT